ATATATTTTTCCCTTCCCCTTTTTATTTTCCACCCATCTACAGAAAAAAATGAAACATAGCAGAGAGTCCCAGAGTCACCCTGAAGTGCAGCAACTGACAAGAAATAGGCAACTATTAAGGGCCAGGATTTTCATCATTATGGTACCAAAATAAGTGAAAGACAGGACAGGCTGCCAAACTTTACTGTTTGCATTGTTATGTTCCTGCACACAGGCTCCTTGTTTCACTCTAAGTGACAAAATAAAACCAAATCATCTTCTGTTCACAAGAAAACGTCCTTTTGATTAGTTGGTCCTACATTTGTCTATTCAACCCAGGTAATGCTGAAGGTGTTTTACATGAAGGCATCACCAGAGCTCAGTGAATTCTCAGAATATATTATATAAAATGACCCTCTCTGTGCAGGCCTCATTTCCTCCATTTCCAATGATCTATGCCTCACTTTAAACAAGCAGCATGTTATTCTGTTTCAGTGTGGAATGGGACAACTCGGTGCAGCCAGCTCAATGTGGCCATCTGAGAATCACCAAGTCGCTTATGCCAACTCACCACTGCCAAGTCACAATAGGACAACTCCACAGGGCCACCTTGCCATGGAGACAACTCACCTTGGGCAGCCAGAGGAAGAGTATACTGGGTAGGTGGGTGAGCAAGCGAGCAGGTGGGCAGAACACAGAGTGGTGGCCTGGAGCTTCCCATTTTCCCATTCCCTGACACTGCTGCCACCCTCTGAGCCAAAGAGGCCAGGGATGGTGGTGGCAGCGATGGGTGGGATGGGTGGCGATGGAGGCTGGTGGCATCCCATTTTCTCACACATACACACACACCCTTCCGCTGCCACTGTCCCCAGCCTCTTCGGCGTGCAGCTCAGTGTGATGGCAGTGGCAGCAGGGGGTGTGAAAATGGGACACCCCCCAGCTTCCATTGCCACTGTATGCTCTGCCCACCCGGTTGCTTGTCCACCCACTTAGCTCTCCCTCCGTCCGCCTGCAGTAAGTTGTCCCCACAGTGAGTTGGCCATGTGGAGTTGTCCTGTGGCAACTTGGCAGCGGTGAGTTGGCAGAGGTGACTTAGCGGTGGCAAGCTGGCCATGAGCTGGCTGCACTGAGCTGGCCGTGCCAAGTTGTCTTAGATGCATTTCAGTGATGGCGAACCTACAACATGTGTATCAATGACACATCATGACCTTTTGGCTTCACCAACACCTGACAACAATAATTCTCGAAAGCATGCCCCATTCTTGCAGAAATTTAGAGGCTGTGGAGGCTGAATGAGAATGAGGTGTGCTCTCACATGGCTTCTGAATCCTTCAAGTCTTACAAAAGGGCTGTGCTCTCATAGAGCTCCCAGAGTGTCTGAAAATTGTATGAGAAGGAAGTGTGTTTTTACAGTTTCCAGAGGCTGTAGAGTCCATGGAAGAGCATTCTCCAAAGTTGCTTCAAGAATGAAGGCCTTTTGCAACTTGGAGCAGCCTCAGATAGGCTGCAGGGGCCCGTCAACAGAAAGAGAGCACCACTTGAAGATAAGCAGCATGCAGCAGATCCTGGGGAGTGCCACGTAGTGGGGACAATTATGCCAAGGCTTATGTCCTTGGGGAATGGTGCACGGTGGCCTTTTTGAGTGGCAGCAGTGGCATTAGGGCTGAACGTGAGGCCAAGGCCTCTGCTTCCCAGCCTCAAATGTGCCACTTTTGAGTGTGGCCTAGATGGGGTCGGGGGAGATAGAGAATTGTTTCTTTTTGATTGACACACCAGAAAAGTCAAGGTAGGCATTTTCCCAATTTTGACACCAAGGCCAAAAGGTCTGCCACCACTGCTCTATTTACTGAAATTAAAAACATAAAATAAATGAAATTCTAATTGTTATTCTAAACTGGCACAATACACAACACATTTTCCCTCACACATTGCTATTAAAATAATTATAACTTTATAAAGAGCTAGTAATAATTTCCATTTTCATCCAAATCACAAATCCAAAAGTTTTGCAAACATCTTCCCAATGTCTTGTAGTAATAACACCTTTTTTTTCCGGATACCTTCTCATTACAATAGTTTAGATAAAGGGAGAGCTGTTTTCGCTTCCTCTCTTCTATTTCTTTGCTTGACTGGTTGTCAACTTTGTCCTGAATTTTCTGAAGCAGAGGTCTTGAAACACTTTCAAACCATTTCTTGTACAGCATTTCCCTTCTCCTTAGAGCTAAGAAATCATTGTGCTTCAAATACCTGTCTACTTCCTAATTAACAGAGAAACTATTATTAAGAAAGGTAGTTTTGAATAAATAAATCGTGGACTTTTAAAACAAAGCTGACAGTATAAATAATTCGTAGAAATTGAGAAACACTAGTAATTAATAAATACTTCACACATTATAACATTCTCCCAAAGACAACACTTGCATATATAAAATATGTATTGCTACTGCCTACAAGCCACTGCAATTTCATGTGATTGCCACAGGAAATCAATTATGTGATACTTGAATATGTAGATTACATCTTATTTGCTACAAATATATAATTTATCTGTTGGACTTTTTAAATATATAAAGAAGCCAGGTACAGGCTTGAGTCTTCTTAACTAAAATCACGTTATATTTACCTTGACAAGAAATACTAGTATACTGTATTAAACTATTTAAGGGATATAAAACATATAGATTATCAACCAAACCTCTACTATATTTAGTGTTAATGGCTGTTGATATACCTATGAGATTCTAACTTTTCTCACCTTTCTCTTTTTTCTTTAGATAAGGTTGCCATTTGTCATAATTGAAAAAAAAATCAAATAAATATGAGATTATTCTCGGGGCTACTTGAGATAGGTGATCTGTAGCAATACAGGTGTTGTTGGCATGTTAGCTGTTGCTCCTGGGAATTGTATTTCAGCAGTTTCTGCAGGGCTACAGATTTTCCACTCCTATGTTTAATATTTCTCAAAATTATGCATTGTATCCCCTGGTTACAACCCTAGAAACACAATTCATCTTCAACTGTTTGAATATGAAATCTAACTTGAAATATGTAATATATATTTACTTCATTCAATCATGTCCAATTCTTGAAGACTGCCTAGATAAGTCCCTGCAGTTATCTTGGCAAGGTGTTTCAGAAGCTGAGAAAAAATGACTGGGCCAAGGTCACCCAGCCTAAGGCGGGACTGGAACTCAGTCTCTTGGTTTCTAGCCCGGAATTTTTAATCACTATACCAAACTAGCTCTCATGATCTCTAATACTAAAGACTTATGTGACCACTACTAGCTATGTCAAGGCAAATTTGGAAAAGCTAAGACTCATCTATCCCAAAGGGAAATAATAAAAATAATAAATAAAAAACAGAATCTAGTGGTTAAGGCACCAAACTAGAAAGCAGGAGAAAGTAGCCATGATAGCCAGCTGGGTAGCCTTGGGGCCAGTCACTCTCTGATAGCCTAACTCAACTCATAGGGCTGTTGAGTAGAAAAAAATAATAGGGGCAGAATACAAATAAATAAATAAGTAATACAGAGAGGACAATGCAGACAGATGGCTTTCCTAGATAAAAGTGTCATAAAAATATATCTATTGAATGATAGATATCAAGATTGGACTTTTCATCTCACCACTAATGATGTGTTTTCCTTCATGGATCAGAGAAGCTGTTTGGAGAAGCAACAGTAGTGTTGCATGTTGATAACAGGATGCAAATGTAGGGTCCAGAATGAGGACAAACAATGAGGTTAACTTCTTGTGGATACAAATAGGAATATCAACCTCATGGAATATCTTCTATGAAATTGGTATTTCCTAGACAAAACAGTCCCTTTGGTTTTCAGGCAAATTTTGCTTTCTCTAATATCAATACACCAACCAGAGAAATGCCAAGCCCCATGCCTGACTAGGAGGCGGCAGTCCTGCATAAACCTCGCAGATCACTGATCTCCTTCTGGCTCCTCTTCCTTAAGAATCAGGATGTTTGCATAGGAGGTTATATTGTTTTCCAATGGAAAACCCCACTTTACTGCTGGATTACCTTGACTCAGAAGTAGATTGGAATTAGGAAGGAGATTCTGTTGGGAGAAAAATGTCCTTGACTAACAGTAAAGAAAGTATCTTGGCATTGGGGCAAAGAGGGGGTCATAGATAACTCCAGTACCCATCTTTTTTTTTATTTTTACCCAATTTTTATCCATCCATTTTTCCCTCTTTTCTTTTTAAAACAAGCTCGCAAGCTTTAATTAACCTAAATAATAACTTAATAGTTATAAAATCTACATCATCCTTCCCTAATTTAAAACTCTCCAGATGTGATGCCCTACAACTGCACACTGCACTGCAAGCCAGAATGATCAGCAACCACATAGATTATCAAGGACAAATAGTGGGGGCAGGGGGAGACTTAACACTGATGTTTTTATTCCTTATTTTTATAGAAAATTGTTATTTGACAATAAGATTTCAAAAGTCAAAAAACAAGATCTTCTCTTCATGAATGAGGGTCACAGGTATGGATTCCTGGTCCAGGTATTTTTATATCTTTCTCAATAGTCAGAATGTTACATTGCAAGCAATGTTTATTTCTTACCCTTATAAAGCAGCTTTCTTTTTCCAGCAGCAATTGAATGGGACCAATAACATCCTGGCTTTCATTAACTAAAGCCTAATAAAATATCAGTAAAATCTGTGAAAGAGAACTACTATATTAAACATACTTATGAAAAATAATTTTACAAACAGATCAGTTCTATAAGATACAATGAATTCCATGCCACTGAGAAGAAACGCAAAATAAAATTACGGTACATGAAAAGCCTTATTTGAAATTTGAGTTGGTACATCAATGATGCTACTATATCATAAGGATGGCAAACTGTGTTTCTTCAGATGTTGATCCACTACAAGCCCCAAGAACCAACACACAGACCAGGCTAGTTTTTCAGAGATCCAGTGTGGCCTAGTGGTTAAGATATTAGACTAGGAACATGAGTCCCAGATTCAAATCCACCTTCAACTACAGCAGCTCACTAGATTTGTCTTTCAGCCCAACAAATGGGCTGAATTATATGGTTGTTGCTGCAGGGGAAAAATGATATATACTGCCTTGTACTCCTGAAAGAAAAGAGGGATTGAAATCTAATTAAAAATAAGTATCTGAAGAAGCACAGGTGGATTAGATCCCTAAGTGGATTTTGAATTTCAGTATAATGAAAGTGATGACAGATGCCATTATTATTACTAACTGAACTGTAGCAAAATTTAAAAGAAGATTTGATTTTGATGATTGGAGATGGCAGTTTAAAATGCTTTAAGATCCCTGAAATAATTTGGAATAGAATATTCATAGGTTTTGCAATAAAAGTTTTAATAATCTGTTGTCGTAAACGTAAATTCAGTATAATTCTCCAGAGAACAATTAAATACTCAATTATGCTTTACATATGTAAAGATAAGAAGGTAACAATTAGAAAATCTGCCTCAATATAACTGTTCTCCTTACTCTTTATTAATAATATACAATTTTCTATATTCATCACCGATATTAAATCTAAACTGATTAAACAATATTCATGTTGAAATGCTTAAATTAAATATTTAAAACAATATTTAATATTAAAACAATATGAAAACCAGTCTACAATTCTAAAGATCAAACTGAGAAAAGTCATCATCGCTTTTCTTCAAAAAGCCAAATGGACTAATCTTAGTTTTGATTGTGAGTTGAGGACATTGAGGACAGTATTGAAAAAACTAGAAAGGGTGAATAGGAGCTTGATGGCTATTGCTAATCATATTCAGAGCAAATAATTATTGGAAGCAGATTAACCAAGTGACTATGAAAGGCTATGAGTGGGAGGAGCCCATTACTGGATCTTTTATTATTGTCAGCGACAAAGAAGGAAAGCATCTTCAGCAGTCCATTGGGGATCTGTTGCTGAGGCAAACCCATATTAGGAAGAGGTGATGAAGCATTCCACATTAAGCGTTTCATTGGGGTCTCTGTGAAAGACATATCCTATCACAAGCAAAGCTCCTTTCTGTAGAGACATCGGCCATGTCCACCTCCTTACCATCTGTGGATCTGCATGCTAGAATTGATCTGTTAAATCTTACTTTCAGGCTTATATATATTCAAATCAATTACGTAATTTAAAAAGTGTTGTAAGATAATCAAAATGCAACAACAGTATGAGAAAGAGACTGTGGTTGCATTTTGATTATGTTACAACCCTTTTGTGGTAAGAGCAGACAGGAATTCAATTTGTTCTAATCGCCAACAAACACATTCAATAAACTGCATGGAACTCAAAAAATGGATCACTTGCCTTCTAAGGCCTTTTGAAATGTGCACTTTGCTATGAGGTAGCAAAGCATCGCCAGTTATTGGTTTTTACCTCTATTCAGTGCCCCCAATACATTGGTACCTGTGCAATGGACAAGTGCTTCTGTGTTAGCCAACTCTCTGAAGTTTTTGTTTTTTCAGATTGACTAGCTCCGCAAACCTTGCTCTGTGATTTACTCAGGAATCTAGTAACTCCTGGAAAAGACTTATTTGAAAAATGAAAAGAAACCAAGTGAATGAACAAAACTTTTAGCTACCAAAAGATCAAACTTAACTATACAAAGGATATCACAGTATGTATTTATTTTACTTTCAAATATTAGTCTAAATTAGGAAACTACAATATATTGTGGGTTCTATTTAATTTCTCTCATAGATCTTTTTAAAAAAAATCCTTAAAATGAAAAGTAGCATATGTGGATAATCAAATAATTCCTGCTCATAATGGAAGAAAAGCAAGAATAAAAATAAATGAAATACTCAGCATGTACTTGAATACTGAGCAAGGAGTAAGACAGAGATGGGTGGGGATTTCTTAGTTGCTTAATATATTTATAGACAAATGTATAAGGAATGTTTGTGGTGGTATTAAAGGTATTTTGGTTGGAGGGATGTGAACATGCACATATTTTTATTATGTAGAAAATGCCATTTTATTGGTTAAGGACCAAATGCTTTGTAGTGAATTGTCAGATAAACAGTAATATACACTGAAAACACAGATCTGAAAATTAGTATATCAAGAATCAATGAATTAACAACTGCAAATTATAATAGAATGTGAAAAATTATAGCAAATGAATACCTTGTATACCTTAATAGAAAGAAAAGGAGAAAATGGATGTTTAAATAGAAATAGAAAGCTTGTAGTGGATTGCACATGGTTTGCAATAAGGAATGAATGTTTGTCAAAGAAGTTGTACCCACTTTGTTTTAAGGAAGTGAGAGTCAATATGTCAAGGAGAGATAAAAGTAAATAGAATATAGTAGGAATAATTTGAGAAATCCAAGTGATAAGGAAAGACAAGGCAGGATTAAGAATGAAAGGATGCTGAATGAATGTTGACTGAATATAAAAGCAAAGGACAGTAATGAAAGAAGTACTATATGTTGACATAATTTGGTCATACAGAGAATGAATGAGGATCAAATTACAAAACACAAATATGAATGAATTGATTAGGAAGAGGAAGACCATTTAAAAATGAAAATGTATTTCACTTAAAATGAAAACATATATATTAGAAATATTAATATCATGTATTAGATTAGAACTTTTATAATTATTAATTAGATTTTTAAAAACATGACTAAGATGAAATTCCGCTTTTACTGTTATAAATTTCCATCATTAAAATACTTATATAATATTGCATTGTAAAATATTGACATATTCACATCCAAACTTACTTGCTTCAGATCTGGCATCAATTGTTCCATTTCAGCTCTTGGGCAACGAAGTCTTACCAGCCACTCTAAGTCTGTACTCTCCTGCCTTGGCACTCTTGTATAGTCCTAATATTAGAATGTTAAAATAGGTTGTGTTTGTTGCTTTGAGTTGTCAGAAAATAATCTTCAGCAGATTTAAGAAGTATACTGGCTCTCTATAGTTTCATACAAAAGTTACCAAACTTATCAACTTCCAGTAACTCACTGCAAATAAATGGTGTGGGTTACCAGAATGTTGATGTGCACAGAAAGAACTTTTCCAGTGTTATGTCATAACTAGTATTGTGATACATTATAAAATGATATGGTCTACTAAAAAAAATTGGAAAAATATCTTGAAGGCTAATACAACAGCTATTAACACCGAGCTAAGAAATCAGAAAAAAATAACTATATAAATCGCATTTATTCAACAGGAAAAGGCATTTTTCTATAAAATAATTATTTTTGAAGTGTCTTTGGGAGTGGCCATATTTTTTTCCCAAATGTGGCAGATGAAATTTAAACAGCATGCTATTATTAAACAGCAGATTTTATTGAAAGAAAAAAAGTTTTTTTATCACTGCAAATGAGCATTTTAAAAATGATTGGTTTTATATATATAGTTACATGAGATAGATTGTAAGAACCTCATCAATTAACTATAGGCTTACAATGGCAATTGGGACCAGAATTGCCAATTACTAAATGACATGGTATAAACTGTGATGTCACACAACCACACTGCTTAGTGATACTAATTCTTGCAATTCCACGCCATTGTTAAGTGAGAAGCGTGGTGTTATTAAGCAGGGACCTCATATCATCTTCCCCATTGATTTTGCTTGTAGGAAGCCAGCAAGGAATGTTGGAAATAATGATCACATGATCTTGCCCACTGCAAAATTGTAATGATGGTGACAATGCAATTGCCAGAACTATGAGGCCCATAGTAAATACCAACCAGTCACTACAATCGTAACTTTGAATAGCTTTGAACGAATGGTAGTAACCTAAAGACTACCTATATTGTAATGTGTTAAAAATCCATTGAGATAGCCTGAAATCTTTGATTTATGTGAGTTAAGCAATGTTTCACTCCATTGTACTGGTAAAGTTTTTTTCCCCCAAGATAGTTACTTTGAGATCTGAAATAAAATGTTTAATCCATATACCTGGTAAGATGTAGTAGGCGTCAATTCTGTTTTCTCTGTGAAGTCATCTTTTTTATCTAGAATGCTTGAGTCTCCAGTTTTTGTGGACCGTGATGATATGCTCTGTTAAATTAGGGAAAGACATTAATTCTATACTTATATGGAGATATCAATCTAACTAAAACAATACAACCCAAGATCAGATTAGATCAAGATTAGCCATATTGATTTTAAATTCTAATTTTCTGTTTTCTTAAAGGACCCTTATAAACCATATTTTTAAGAATTTTTCTAGTAAGGTAACTTGTCTAAATACCTTTTTTCTATCTTTATCATAACTCTATAATTAGCATTAAAGACAGTAAAACATTACTGTATAAGATTTTCATAGTAGTTTTATATGTTCAAAGAACTACAGTTATACTAAGAAATGTCTTGCTTAATGACCAGGGTGATTCACTTAACAACCATGGCAAAAAAGATCATAAAATTGGGTGTAGTCACGTGATGTCACTTAACAATTCTCACCTTAATGATGAATTTTCCCATCCCAATTATGGTCATAAATTGAGGAATATCTGTATTTAAAAATGTAGACTGCATAACTCATTTATATACTTGATTTCCTTTTTCTTATTAAATGTTAAATAACAGTTTTGAACAAATACATTATTTATAAATAATTTACTTTCACAAGGGTATGTGAATATAAACTTTCTATTAAATAAGATTGGTATGCACTTCCATGTTCCATGTTTGTATTGTTTATCTCCAGAAGAACACCAACAAGAGCCAATAACATTTTATTTGACTCCTATTTTTGGAAAAAAAATAGCAAAATACAATAATAAATGAAGGACAGCTATAAAAGTTCAAAATGTTTTGTTAGGTATTTTCTGACATTGCTTTATGTCTATGGAGATTCTCAATCATCCAAGTCATGGCTGTTCAGAAATGAAGAAGCTTCTTGGATGAGAAGCAAAACATTTTTAAGGAAAAAGCAAGAAAGTCAATTAGTTACGTTTTGCATAAATAATATTGATTGTTCTTTAGTAAAATGTGTCCTTCTATATGTTGGATAATTTTATATAGAATCTCACTTTTATATAAAATCTCACTTTTCATCAATAATATCCATCTTTTCTAGCATTATAGTTCACACACACTGTGTCCTAAATAAGATAATTTGAGCTTGGTCATTTGTGACTCAAGTGAGAACTCTGGGTTGGTTGGTTGGTTGGTTGGTTGGTTGGTTGGTTGGTTTATTTATTTATTTGATCACCCATTAGTTTTTCTTGGCTGTCAACAGTAATCCCAGAGGTCCTGTCCAACATCAAAGTTCAAAAGCATACTCTTTCTATCCTGCTTTTTTGAAGTCCAATTTTTGCTTCCATGGAGTGTCAAAGGGAATACCATGGCATGCATGATGATCTTTATAGATCCCATCATGACATTTGAAGGTTTCCAAAACCTTCCTGACTGCTGTATCAAATGTTAGTGTGGCACATTTCTTGATTGCTTGTATTTTTATTGTTGATGATTGATCCTAAAAAGCAAAAGCTATTTACCATTTCAATATGGCAATTCTAAGACTGGTTATTCAACCTGTTGTTATTAGTTTGGTATTCTTTAGGTTTATGTTTAATTTGTTGTTGTTTTTTCATTCCTCGGACTTTTAGCAAGACTTACAGATCCTTTGCATTTTCAGCTATCAAGGTAGTGTCATCAGCATAGCACAAGTTATTGATGTTTCTTCCTCCAATTTTAAAACCATTCATCTTCTTACTTATATATTCCCTTAATATATATTCAGCATGTGGGTTGAATAATTAATGGGGATACAACCTTATCCCACTCCTTTGCCAAACTGGAGTCTCTCTGTTTTAGCATAATTAAAAGCTTTCTATAATTGAACAACATATTAACTTCCTTTTGGTTTTCTTTGGCTTTCTCAATTATCCAGCATGCATCAGCAATAAAGTATTGTGTTCTTTGACCTTTTCTAAAGCCATCTGGAACATCTCACATCTGTTTTTCTATGTGTGACTCTAATCTGCATAGGATGATCTTAAGCATTATTTTGCTAGCAGGAGAAATTTAGTATATTGTATGATAGTTTGCACACTCTATTAAGTTTTCTTTTTTGGCATTGAAAGATTGACCTTTTCCAATGAGGTGGCTACTGTGTTCTCCAGATTATCTGGTATAGCTTGATTAAACTGATTCTTTTTCTGTTGCTTGTCATATTTTAATCAATATTATACCCGTTCCTGTAGCCTTCTGACTTGGTAATAACCAGAGTGCTGATGAAACTTCATCTTCTAGTACCAGAGCTTACTGTAAATAGGGAATATCTTCTTGGATTTTGACATCTCTACTATACAATGTAATAATAATAATAATAAAGTTGGAAGGGACCTTGGAGGTCATCTAGTCCAACCCCCTGCTCAGGCAGGAAACCCTATACCATTTCAGACAAATGGCTGTCCAGTCGCTTCTTAAAAACGTCTAGTGTTGGAGCATTCACCGCTTCTGGAGGCAGGTTGTTCCACTGGTTAATTGTTCTAACTGTCAAGAAGTTTCTCCTTAGTTCTAGGTTGCTTCTCTCCTTGGTTAGTTTCAGTATACTCCTTCCATCTTCCTTTGAACTCCTTTGAATGTCCTTTGGCATCCTTCAGCATAGTAATTAAATGTTGGAATTTTCTTTTGGACTCAGAAATCTTTTGAATGACTTGTTTTTCCATGTCTGTTACAATCTTCAATATTTTTATAGATACTATTGAAATATTACTTCTTTTCTTTTTTAACAGCTTTCTGATACTCTTTGTAAAATTCCTGAGATTTTTGTCTTTCTTGGCTTTGGCTTCTCTCCTCTTCTTAGCAATTACCACAGTTGGTTCATAACATGCTTCCTTCTCTTTCTTTATTTTTGACAGGCTCTTTTCACATTTATCTTTAACAATTTCATGAAGTTCATTCCATAATTACTCTGCTTCTCTTTCAGTGAGGTTGAGGACTTCAAAATGGTTCCTGATGTTCTCCTTGAAAATTATGGACAAATGTTCAAATCATGTTGTAGAAATTAATTGGCGTTACACTTCTTCTTTAGCTTAACTCAGAGCTTGCACACGATCAGTTCATGATCTATTCCAGTCAGCATCTTGCCATGTCTCTAATGCTACTGCTGAGCTCCTCCACCTGCTTTTAGCAATAATATATTAAATTGATTTCTATATACTCCATCTGATGTCCATGCATTGCTTTGTTTGTCTGAAGATACTGTTATCTATGAAGAAATCATTGAAGTGGCTGAAATGGATAAGTCCATCTCCTGCTTTATTCCAGTTTCCTAAGCCAACTATATTTTCTTCTTTCATGTTTCCAGCTATAGCATTCCAGTCTCAAATCACAAGCAGCATATCTTGCTTGCATGTTCTATCAATTTCAAATTGAACTTGATTGTAGAACTCATCAACTCCCTCTTCTTCTGCATTGGTGATTAAAGCATAAACTTAAGTGGTCATCATATTAAGGATTGTTCATAAAATCTAATCAATATTATTTGCTCATTGATTGCATTGTAGCCAATACTATTCTTGCTACATTCTTCCTAATTATGAAAACAATGCCATTCCTTCTTTGTTTTTCATGTCCACAGTACTAAAAAGTGTAATCTTCCAAGAAAAAATGCCCAATTCTACTCCATCTCAATTTGCTGATTCCTAAGAGATCACTTTGCAATTGTTTCCTTTCATCTTTCACAATGTTGAGCTTTCCTTTGTCCCTGCTTCTTACATTCCATATTCTTACTGTAATTCTGCATTTGCAGCTTCATATTTTCTTTTCCAGTACGGCAACATCACCAACTAGATGTCCTAAAGGTTTTAATCTAGCCATATCATAAACACCTTTAGTACTCCAAAATGTTTCTCAGCTCTTTTCCATTAGAAGACTATCCAAGGGACCATTTTTTCCCAAGAGTTTCTATCTGTAAAGTTTGGGCATGCTGCACATCCTATCAGCTAAAGTGTTAACTGGCAGAAACTAGAAGACAGGCTGTCTCTGCTACAGCTCCTACTTTGTGGAATACTCTCCACTCAGAGATTAGAATTATCCCAATCCTATTGGCCTCATAAGGCTTTAAAAACTTGGCTATATACCTGGGCAATATGTTAACGATGCCATTTCTTGGCTTTACTGTTAGTTGGTTAACTACCTTGGCAGCTATATGTACTTATTATTTGAATGTTTTTATTGTTTATTGCTTTAATTGTTTTAATTATATTGTTTTATTTTTTGTAGTTTGATGTTGATTTAAAAAGTAGTATAATTCTTATACTAATTAAACATGTGGAGAATATGATCCCAAAAAAATATAATCCAGACAAAGCTGTCCAAGCTTTTTAAGATTTATGCATCATATAAAATGAAATGGCACTAATTTTACCTCTATTATGCCCAGAGTTCATTGAATATTTATCATATAAATGAGGGGTGGCTGTGAACTCTACATAATGAGTATGGAAACAAAGTCCCTTAAACAGCTTAAAATCAGTTTTATACTACATCTGAACATGAAGTCAAATTTCTGTTGAAGTAACTAGTGTTTGCCTGATTGCTGGGATTCTTCTTCTAATCTAGGTTTTTAATGTTCCCAAGTATGCATAATATTCAAATAATTTTAGTAAAGTAAGACATTTCTTGTTTAAGAAATCCTAACTATGCTCTCATGTTTTAGTCCTGCAATTTAGACTGGAAAAAGTCTTTTTCACTGTTTTAATTTTTGCCAACAAAATTGGGATGGGTCTCTAAAAGTTTTTAGATACTGTACAATACTTTTTGGATGTGCATAAATATGTACCATTGCGTATTATATTCATTTTCCATCCTGAACTGGTGTCACAAGTAAATTGCATATTACGGTATATTCATCTTCCATCTGAACTGGTGTCACAAATTATGAAAATATAGCAGGAAATAATTCTGCATCTTCTCTACATGTGGAGTATTCATGCCATATGATTAATTTACTTAAGGTGGGAAGTGAAAAACAGAAATAGAATAAGAACTTCCACAAAATTCTTTCCTGGATCAATTGAAAAACTGGATATATAGGTTTCACATTAAAACTACTGTACTACCCAGCATTCAAAAAGGACATTATTCTCTTAGCAATCTTTAACCATGTTTAATTAATTTAATTAATAGTTAATTAATAATATATAACCTTTTTTGCATGAGCTCGTTTACTGTATCGATGCCTTGCTCCTGGACAACAAACTTTTATGAGCCAGTCTTCTCCTGAACTTTCACTATTTTCAGATGACAAGGAGTCAGCCTGAAAAACATTGAAAAAACAAGTTTTTTAAAGAGTGTATTGTAGAATAGGCATTTAGCAAACAACCTGCAGCAAATGCTTCTACATTGCAATTACTTCCATCCACTTCTCTCTTCCCCATATGTCAATGAAAATTTAAAAAATGTTCAACAACTTTCTAAATTCTGCAATGTGAAGCATGCAAGGTACATATAAAAGAACTAAACACAAAAGGCTTTATTAAAAGAAAACAAAAAGGCACTTAATACTCTGTTTTCTCAGTTCCTGCTTGTGTAAAGATCTAGAAACTGAATAAACAGATCTCTGCTATGGCTGGAAAACAACCACATAATTTTTTGTATCTCAGCTTTAACTGTTTGAAGCCAATCTGCAATAACTTCACTTCTGCTAAACTAGAAATGCTAGGAACATGCAATGATGACTATGATCCATTCAGTGCTCCTTCTAGGACAAAGAGTGGGAAAAGAGTTGAGGTTCCACTCCTTCAGGCACTGTACGTACAATAATCCCCCCCCACCATAAACTCAAGTGGTGCTAATAGTAGTAAAGTTGAAGTCAATGACTGTTATCTATATTTATTATGTCCATGTTGTTTACTTGGCAATAATAATAATGTGATTTGAACAGCTTCTTTTCAGATATAAATTTGACTTCTCTGTCTAATCTCCAATCTGGTCCTTCAGATCTTCCAATGATGCACCCATTCAATTAAAACTGAGTCCATCCACTTTGCTGTAGATGTCCTTTCTTCCCTTTTTCTTTTCACCTTCCTCAGTATTATAGACATCTCAAGTGAGCTATATCTTCACATGCGACCCAATTATGGTCATTTGAGACTGATCATTTATTCCTCAACTCTGGACTGATTTGTTTGATGATCCATTTGTTTATTTGCTTGGCTACTCCTGGTATTCTCAGGAGTCTTTTCCAGCAGGTTCAAAACCAACAATATTCTTTTTGTGTGTACATACTGCTGTTTCTTTTACTGTTGATAGTAGATTCTAAAGAAGGTGTCCATTGATATCTTTACTGTATCAGTTCTAATACTAGTTGCTGTACTTATCATTAACTTAGTCTTCTGTATATTTAAGTTCCTTTTTTCCCACTGTGTCCCTTTATTTTTATTACTAAAGCTTTGTGGAAGGAAATATACATTTTCATTTATCATTTTAGAGATTCATGATACCATTAAGTTTGAGAAACTCTGCACCCGGTTACAATGTGGCTATCAGCTCCTCTTAATTGTATATACAATATGGTTTGTAAACAGTAGATTTTGCTTGCCTCTCAGTGCAATATTATTGTTGAAGCACAGGCCATTTTAAAAAATAATTTTGCTGAGTTTATAAAACAATATATTAAAACTTACAAATTACATTTAAACTATTAAAGGATGTACACACAAGTATGTGTATTACATATACTTGAACAAACTAAAGACTAGGCAGAAAAAAAGAAAAACTCCAGGAAAACTAAACATTACAAAAAAAAAGAAAAATAATACATAATCTTGAGATGCTGTTCAGAGACCTTGAATAAGGATATTTTATTTAAAATTCACCTTATATGGTTATATATGTGTTGAATATGCCTGCATACACACATCTTATTAACACACTACAGTACATCAGTATTCACACAAATTACGCCAAAATAAAACATTAATTTAATATGGTATCATTCTCAGGCTTATGCTGTGTTCACAACACAATGAACAACAAACCTAAAAAATAATATCTTGAGGATATCATGCCCACTCAGTCTGTGTAGTTTATATTTCAATGTCTCACAAGAACCCCAAAAATCTGAGTAATGCCATAAACCAGTCAAATTAGCTACAGATAGGCATGTCCTGTGAAGATAGCTATGTGATTTGCCTGGTTTTGGACTAGTCACTGTGATTTATAATGGCTTTTGGAGACTTGCTACCAATGAAGGAGCTCAGGGACATTGAAGTGTCTTGATGGGTGGTTTTGCTGGGGGTAGGTGTTTATTTGTTTTGTTTTGAGATTAGGACATGGAGTATCTGGGACCTTAAGGCAAATGAAGAGCTGTTTGAAATTAATCTGATATTCTAGCTTTATGGGGAAAAAGTTGCTTTCGCCATTAATCTTCTTAGCAAAAGTTAGCAGTCTTATTATACATAATACTAAATTATGTATAATGTATATTATTGCTAATAACGTTAAAACTAAAAACGTGACTCCTGGGTATATTCATCTTCAAATCAATAAAATGTGAACACCAGGAGTATAATAAACTAAAAAAGTTATCTATAACGGACGTGTTATCTATAAAGGAACTCTCCCATGGACTGGCATTTTAGCCCTGACGATGTCGGAAGATACCGACGAAAGCTTGGTGATTATCTATGTTATTAAACTTTTTTAGTTTATTATACTCCTGGTGTTCACGTTTTATTGATTTGAAAATGTATATTATGTATTATGTATAAATTAAATGTATAAATTAAGTTAATTAAGTTTTACCGAATAAACCATAACCACCCAGGATAATTCATAAACTGTAAGAACAGAATTCATGCACAACAAATGCTTGTTTATTTCTGAATTAGCATATTGTATAACTCCCAACTGAATACAAATTTCTCAAGGAATACATTCTATTGATTTCACTAAAAATGCTGTGAAGTAACAGACTCTCATGTTCCTAGAGTTCTTGAATTCATTGACATTAGTGGTTTCAGGTATGTCAACTTCTATAATCACTCTGGGATGGCCAGATGTTTAATTTAATCTCAAGCCCCACTAGCAGTCGTCAGTGGACAAACTACTTAATTAAGCAGGCACTATATTCTAAGCTACATAAAAACAATTGTGTTGCTTGTGGCTGGCAACAGTCTTGGGTGAACTAGACCCAATGGAGCTTAGTGTGGTGGTCAACGCGTTATTACGCTAAAACTTCTTTCTGAAGCTAAAATAGACTCTTATTATGTTTGTGGCAACATCCATACGGTTTTGTCGGGGACCATACGCTTTATCGCTGCAGTAAAGGGATTCGCCAAGCCCTAGAAGTCTCTAACTAAGCCCGGTGCTACTTAATTTTTGGAGATCTCTCATTTATAGTCCGCCTTTCTGGAAGGATATTCTGGAATCCTGGCCACGAAGTTCATTCTGAAGATCTCGGTTCAACTCCCAAAACATTAGCGCAGTGGGCGTTTCCCTTTGCCCTCTAGTTTCCAACTACTCAGTTTACGATACAACTCCACTCACCCTTGTGGCGAGGCTCGGGGTAGATGACTCTATAGGCGTAGATGTCAACGGTCCCAGATGGAAAGGACCCACGCCGTTCCCCGCCACCTCCATACCCCTTTCCCATCCCCGTCCCGGGGGCAGAGACCGCTTCGTTGTCCGGCCACGGCCCAAATTCACTGGCAGTGGTGCGCCAAACCAGCGATCAGTTCCCTCCGCCAGGAAAAAAAAATAGTTCCTTCCAGCTTTCTTGTCTCAAGGCTCCAGTTAGCGCTTTGGTGATCAAAAACGGCAGAAGGAAGCACTTTTGCCAAATTAAAAACATAATGAAAATGGAGGCTCATTGTCCCTTATGCTTTTTTTTTCCTTCCAAAGGAGATTGGACTGTATCCGTCCGCTTCAGTGTTGCTCGTACCCATGGCAATCCCGCGACGCAATTGCTCTGCTGTGATGGAAAGGAGTCAGCCTGGCCGGAGGCTTGTAGATGTGAAAAAAAATCGCGATCTGTATCCAGAAATTAAACTTATAGCTAATGGCTTTGAGAGATGGAAGACGCCGTTATAAAATTTTCTGGGATCCCATTTTATATAGAACTGCTTTTTTATTAGCGAAAGACAACGTGCAAGCACGCGTAGAGCGATCTTCTAGGATTAAGTTGTAGCAGCGCTCCCAAATCCCTGAAACTTGCTGCAAGGATGAGACTAACATTTGAGTTGTTTATGCCCTGTAAAATTTAATTTTATCCTCCCCGTCTGTGATGAAAACCAACTCTCCCATTTTCTTTACCCTATTACCTTTCGTGGTTTGATTCATGCCTATGCTCAGAAGAAAAACAACTAGTTGTGGTCAAATATTAATGCAAGCTATAAAGGGAATTAGGAAAGTCTTCCTAAGTAATAAATTATGGAATTAAATGTTACCAAATATTAGATTCATAATTATAATTTATTAACTCTATTATTTTTAAATGTTTATTAATTAAAACATCTGAATAGTCTTGACTTTGGGAGAGGAGTCCGTCTGTTTTAGAGGTCCGAATATCAACCATCACAATACTTTAACTGCAAAGAATCCGCTAAATTTCACGCCCGCTTTTCAGACCTTTTACTCAGACTATCCTCATTTCCCATCATGCTTTGAGGGAGAATGAGCGGCCCCAGTCAATTTGAATAAAGAGTTTTCCGCGCCCTTTTCGAACAGGGGAAGTACTACGCTCCTTTTGATTTAGGAATTCGCCAGTAGGAGATGGAAGAAGAATGGGAGATATTTTGTTCTTTGGGGAAAGTCCGGTCACATGGGCGGTCTCTTTCAGGTGCTTCTTCCCTGAGGAATTCTCCTGCCTCCAGTACTTAATCTTTATTTCACAGCTGAGCCGAATCTTTCCCTCCAAAATCGCATTCGGGCGAGTAAATTTTGGAAGGAATTTTCTTTGCTGCCCCTTTCGATGCGCTGCCTTCTCCTTCCAAGCTTGACAAGCAAATTCAGTCAACAGAGCCGCACCTCTGCTCCCACCCAACCCGATAGACTGGAGGCTTCGCACTTTTCATCTGTTCCCCGCGATGCGACATTTCTGTCTTTGTGTTTACTCGCCTCTATTATAAAACGGACCCTGGATATTTCTGAAACCTCTCGCATCAAATTGATGTCATGCCATGTTGTAGTCCTCTATTAGATACAGTCTGATGAAAAAGTAAGTTGTTAGTTGCGAAGTAGTGTCCGACCCATCATGACCCCATGGACAACGTTCCTCCAGGCCTTCCTGTCCTCTACCATCTTCTGGAGTCCATTTAAGCTCACGCCTACTGCTTCAGTGATTCCATCCAGCCACCTCACTCTCTGTCGTCCCCTTCTTCTGTTGCCCTCAATCTTTCCCAGCATTAGGCTCTTCTCCAGTGAGTCCTTCCTTCTCATTAGGTGGCCAAAGTATTTGAGTTTCAACTTCAGGATCTGGCCTTCTAAAGAGCAGTCGGGGTTGATCTCTTCTAGGACTGACCGGTTTGAATGCCTTGCAGTCCAAGGGATTCGCAGGAGTCTTCTCCAGCACTATAGTTCAAAGGCCTCAAGTTTCTGATAGATATCAAAATAAAGCTAAACATCTTACAATTGATAATTACATATCAAAATATGCACTCAAAAAGAGAGTATGACTGGTACTTAACTCCTGATTACAAGTTCTGCATTCTTATAAGTAATAAGGAATGATCTCAGTGAACATAATGCTATAGAATAATGTTAGCAAGAACATTCTATAAAGCCACTCAGTTTATCTGTTTAACATTAAAAGAAATATTTCTTCTGGTCAAACTGCCATTATTGTCTTTTCCTCTTGAATTTGAAAAAAATGTTTAGATTATGAAGTAGCATAGCATGCTTATGAATTTGGACTATATTATACTGGCTCAAATATTCAAGGAATTCTTTCTTGAGAAAAGAAATTTCACCCTTTAAAAAATTATGTATATGGTTCTGGTGCCAGTTGTGCCTTAGCAGCACATAAATATTGAAGTTATTAGTAAAGTATCTGCTGAAGTAAGGTTGTTCTATTCTTCAGCAAGTCTCTTGAAGTAGATGAGTAGCTTGGAATATATGGATTAGGACAGATCATCTTGAGAAGTTCTGCCTGATTATCAAAGATAAGTACAGTAATGGTAGAGTCATTAGATCTAGTGCACAAAATTTCAAATGACCACGAGTTGGCAGCAAAGAGTATTCAGTACTTCTTTGATGCATTCTATGAGTCTAGGCTTTTGCAACCCAGTTTTGGTAGCCCTGCCAATAACCTTCATGACTGACTTTGCCCTGCTGCCTTCATACTTTCCACAAGAACTTTAAATTGAGGGAAACTATTTAATCACATTGTTATCAAAAATCAGAGATGGAATATCATTTTAAATCAGAGGATGGAATGTATTCTGAATAAACAAATGAGGCCAGCACTGTAAGCCAAAAATGAATATGCACCAAAGGAATGGGTTCCCACCGTTTTCATAAAACTTGTAAGATAATTCACATGCATTTCTTGTTAATTTGTGTAGATATCACTTAATCATTTTTAACACATTTTACAGTGTCTATGTATCACCTATGGAAATTATAAATGACATATCTTATATAAATCTCTACTTAGGTTTAGTAGCAGATAATAAGTACAAAAGAAAACTACATTTACACTGTGTTTTTTAAAATATATTTTTTCCAAATGTTAGATTGCTAAATTGTGAGACAAGCTCCACCTGAAGTCATTTCCACCCAAGATATAGCAGTTATAGCATGAGCATTACTATAATAAGGCCAAAAAAAATTACCTTTGCACATTTTGTAATATTTGGAATCAGACTGAAATTGTAGTAGAAAAGATGATGGAGTGAAAAGGTGGATCGGCCTAGAATCCCTATGTAGACACGAGAGAATTAAGACCAATTCCCCTTGAGTGCCTTCGACCCATATCTAACTCTAAGCAGAGTTCTTAACGGTTAGTTAAGAAAATTCCTGTACAGAGAGTTTTAGCAGTAAATCAGTTTAATTGAAACTTCATGTATGGACCTGGTCTTTTGCACCTGACAGAAATGTCTAGAAATATACAATATGTGTTATTATGGATTCCATTGTTATGCTGCTGTACTTATATTGAAAAAATGAAGTACAATATTGCCAAAGATAACAGAAAAATACTTTTGGGAAGGGGAATAATAAATAAAAAAAGGATAATCGCCAATGTCAATATCGCCACATCTTGCCAGAGACTGCTTCCAGGAGCAACAGATGATGTTGATTGTTCATTGAATAAATAACTTGAGACATGAAGTAAAGGAGAATTGCTTGAATCCTTTACAACAGAACTGAAGAGCCTGTGAAGGTCTGGGTCAGCGGTTCCCAACCTTTTCTATACCCGCCGCACCCCTAGAATGCTTCTGATATATTCTCGCACCTCTTACAAAAGTTCAAAATAATGGCAACAAATTATGCATACACACTATAATTTTGAAGATTCTAAACCCAGATTTTCGCACCCCCTGGAATATTGTCTCACACCCTTGGTTGGGAACCTCTGGTCTAGGTCTTAATAACAATTCTGATTATCCTAAACCATTAGCTATAATGGTTGGGGCTGGGGCCAATGATTATCCCTAAATTTACCCTAATTGTCACTTCAGTAACAAAAATACTGTAAGGTTCTCCTTTTAACCTTTAACAGACAGACATATATATACACAGATACTATTAAGACAACATTTTTTTAAGGCATATGGCTTGTGCTGCAAGAAGAGAGAAAAATCATGAGGTGATTCCAACCAAACATGTGGTTTTTATATGGTCCTTTAACCATCTCCTATTTTTCTCACCATTCCAAGTCCAAGATTAATGTTCTGGATGGCCAAATATGTAAAAAAAAAAAAAACCACATCAATTTGGGGTTTGAGGCCAAAACAGGCTTCCCTTTTTAATTAAACAGGAGGGGAACATTTATGGTTGCTTCCAACTTTTTCCAGCAACTTCAAAAGACAGTGGGGAAGGACTAAAAGTAATATTGAACCTGGGGCCTTTTGCAGGTGTGAAGGGGGAGGGGAAAACTAGCAGCTCCCCTCCTCACGTCTGACAAAGGGGAATTGAATAGTCCAAAGAGCCAGATTAAAAGAAAAAGAGAAAAAAAAACTTGCTTTCAATTCTTTGGATTTTTCTTTTCTTTTCTTCCGTGGCTTTAGTTGTTATCAGATAAACTAGCCAAATGGAGGTTTACAAAGTTTTTTAATGTTGCCTTCTTGAAGATTATTTTTACTGCCACACATCAACACAAAGCACCACCAGATGTTGTCTGACAGGGTTAAACTTAACAGCCACTTGAGGTTTCAAAACATCCCAATTTTTCAAAACACATTGCAAAGGAGTACATTTTAGCTTCAAAGGAGTACATTTTACCTTAATTTCCTTCTCTAAATTACTCTGACGATTCCCCATTCCTGTATTACAAGATGGTTTCTTGGCCCCTTCACGTAAAGCAGTGGTTCTCAACCTTTTTAATGCCGTGACCCCCAACCGGTTGTAAGTCGAGGACTAAACCGGTTGTAAGTCGAGGACTACCCAACCGGTCGTAAGTCGAGGACTTTCCCTGCCCGGGAGCGCCGCGCATGCCTGGTTCCACCCCCTGCGCCGGCCGAGGCATAGCTGGCAAGCAGCAGAGATGGAGCAGGCCGACCACCAGCTGGCCCAGCCCAAGGGAGGTAAGGCACCCGTCGGAAAAGGGGAAAAAATGGCGGACAGCCTTGCTTGGCGACCCCCGTGAAATGGTCGATCGACCCCAAATGGGGTTGCGACCCATAGGTTGAGAACCGCTGGTGTACTGTATTTAATTTTGTCTCTTAAATTAGCTTACCTTTTGTCTAATTTCATCCTATTACTCTCACCAATAACATTTTGAATTTTATTTTTCTGTTCTTGCAAAAAACAGTTTGTGTCATCAGCAAATCTCATCAGTATTTCTTCCATCTCTTCATCCAAGTCATTAATAAATATATTGCACAGCAGGGAAGCCAGGATTAGACTATTGTGACATCTTACTTGATATCTGGTTCCCTTGTGATGAAGAATTATTATTGAGCACTTCTGAGTACAATTTGAAAACCAGTTATGTATCCACTTAATTTTCATGGGATACTTTGCTAAACAATTTACTGAAAAAAAGATGCATCTCCTGAATTCCAAAAAATAATTAAAGAAGTTATCCAGGAAAAGTCTAGCATGGCTTCAGAAGTCATGCTCAGCTACCATGTTGGAGAACAAGCTCTTTATGTTGTGGCTCTAGAATCTCCCAAGGTATTCAGATGAGACTGATTTTTCTGCAATTTCTGGAAGTCTTCATTTTCCTTTTATAAAATAGGAATAACAAATGCCCTTATTGTGCGTCACTTCACCAACTTTCTGGCGTTTCTTAAAGATTATAAGTTTTCAGCCAATCAACTAATTTGTTTGGTACCTGACAGCCCTATAAGATAGATAGCTCAAGAAACTGATTCCGCAGGGAATCCTTTCTGAGATGGGCTCCAGTAATAGAATCTTGCCATGTCTGCCTGGGCCTCCTTTTCCCTTCTTTTTACAACCCAAGGACTTGGGAAGAGCCAGTCTGAGTCTCTTTCTGATAGGTTCCTGGCTCCCTGGCTTAATGCATAATTTCTTCTGCTGCTGTTCTAAAAGCCAGGTCATCTGGCTCCATACAATTGCATCTAGGATACAATTCCTCTGGCCCTTTATATTTGCAAATAAAAAGACATTTTCTAGGTTTCTGTCAGTCTCTAGCTTGAATCCTATCTCTGGATAACATTTCTTTTAAATCACATCACTTTTAAATTCCTGTAAATAACTGCTGGAGGTGCATTAATTCTCTTCATACATTTCCAAAATGTTTTCTTTCTTTCCACCAAAATTGCTTTGAATTTTCTCCACCTCTTTTAATCTTAACTATTCTTTGCTCTCTTTGAGCACATTCTACAACTATCTTTTTTCATTTTCCATTTATATGCATAATGTAATCTTTTTTTCATAGTATTTTGGAAAAAAACATTTTCCTACATGTATTTTTCCTCATTTACAAGCTCCTCATTCCACCAAGCATTCTTTTTTATACTTCCCATTAATGTAACTCCACACTGTTCTATAGTACTATACGATAGATTGCTTTTCACTTTGTACGAAACAAATTCCACATCCTCTTTCTACCTGGCCCTACCAAAAATGTCCAAATTCAAAACACTCATCACCTTTGTCTCCTTTGGCAATTCCTCCAGTCCATCATCATCATAAAAATACCCAAATCATTGTGCTTTTAGATTTATATTTATTTCTTACTTATATTTATGAATAAAAAACTACGTATATGAAACCAACAGATTATTTTCTAAACAAATATTCACCAACCTATTCGCATTCATTCCTGGATTTCTGAATGGCCCCCACTTTTTTGCACTTTCTCTTCTTGCTCCCATTTATTCAATCACATATTCCAGCAAAATAATCCTCCCCCGATTGCATTATTTCAGAATATTTCCAACTGTAGAAGTTATTATAAAATATTAAAGAAAAAGGTTTAGGTCTACCTGATTTGAAATTGTATTTTGCAGCTTGGTTAGTTTGGATGAAGGAGCGAGTGATGCTGAAAAACAGGAAGTTATTGGAATTAGAAGAGCATGCTTTGAGATTTGATTGCCATGGCTATTTATGGTATGATAAAGCTCAGGTTGATTTAGATTTCAAAAATCTCTTTACTACACATGCCATATAGAGAGTATGGGATAGATATAAACTTAGGTTGTCTCAGAAAATACCTTTATGGCTGTCACCACAAGAAGCGTATTATGCAAGATAATTAAGCATAAAAGGTTAACATATGGCGGTATATTGGAATTNCAGAAAAATAATCTAAAAAGTATCTCAAATATAAGTTGAGAATGTGAACAACAAGACGTTGTTATCATAATTGCTGGACATTAAAAAACTTTTAAAAAAAAGATTCAATGCCTACATTAATTCAGAAGAGATTTTAAAAAATATACAATAGTATACAATTGAAACCCTTTGGGACTTATGGATAAACAGTTGGAAAAAAAATCTATGGAACTTTGTTTATGAGCCTGATTTTAAAACTGGAGTGGTAGGAACATTAGAAAGATGCAGGGAATCATAAAAAGTTAGCATGTGAAAGACTATATTATGTTAGAGAGTACCGTAATATAGTATATATTAAGTGCCCATTGAATTTAGTTTATAATGTTGACCATGAAACACAAGCCAGAAGTTATCTGAGAAGTTGACTGCTGCTGCAGAGAACCTGGCAACATTGTATGTTGGAGCAGATTTAGTATCTGAACCCAACAGCATGTAGTAAAATTGTACTAGCAGAAAGGCTGGTCAGAGAGATCACACACCACCACAACCCATCTTATTCCAGGATTACAAAAACTTCTCTACTCACCAAGGCGCCTGTTGTAATTTCTCCCGTCAGTGGAGAAGCATGAAACCTCGTTGAATTCAGGCGTCCAGATTCCTCGGACATGGATCCTACCGACGACAACGAAGTGCAGAAGTCTTTCAGGTCAAACACCTAGAAGTGCTCTAAGACTCACACTTCACTCACTGTCGGTTTTGTCCTCCCGGGAATTGAAGGCTCACCGGGACCTTAACAGACATGGGGGCCATTGTGGCTTCTTCCTGTTCGAGCAAGCCTGAAGTTGAGCGCCAGGATATAAGGTTTTCCTTTTAACCTCACAAATTTCCCTGCACTATTCAGGAATTTTAAAGAGCCAAAGAAACTCCTGAGCCGAGGTTTCAGCAAGCAAACAACTTTTATTTTGATCAAAACAGATTCGGATGTCCTCCTCCCCTTTCATGGCTGCTTAAAAAGGGGTGAAGGCACACACAGAAAAGATTTCTTCCACTTTTTATACCCCTTCAGAACAAAGAAGCTCAAGTCTCAGTATCAGGAGCAAGAAGGTACAGAAAAACAAATTCCAAGGTAGTGACTCATACACATCAATCCAGGCTAGCTCACCTTCCCCCCTCCTTATTTCCTGAACCATTGAATTTCATTTTTCTTCTTTTATGTAAGCAATCACCTGTACATAAAGCATTGGCTTCCATATAAACAATTTCCCAATATAAGGCACCCACAAAGCTGCTTACGCACAAACAAAAACATATATATCTATACATAAAAATGATTACAAAATATCACTACTAATATCAATATAAAATGGTTACAAAATACCATTACTAATATCAAGCTTAAACATAATAAAATTCAATATAATAAAAATACGCTCCAAGCAAGAATTTTGCTGTCTTTCAATTTTAATTGCTTATTTATTTTCTTCTCATTTCAGTAAAAGAAATCTAATAAAAACCCTAAGCTGCATGCAAAAGTTGTGTTCTTTTTCAATCATAATTGCTTATTTATCACATTTATATGGCCCTCCACATCCCCAAGAAATTGCAGGATGACATACAACTTTATACTTTATACAATCTTTCTTAGAATATTATATCATTTGGACTTCTTCATCTGAATTTGTTTTGATGGTTGCATAGTAGTCGCTCTTTGTGTTTGTCTGATATTGATGGTAAAGACATCTGGTGATCTCATTCTTTCAAAACAATAACACTCAATTTTTTCCTCAGCTGAAACTGTCCTAGAACTCAGTAAATGAAATCCATCTTTCAGTAAGATATCAATCAGTAGTCCAAGAACATTAGCTCCATTAAACAGCTTCCTCTTATCAGGTTTTATAGAAACATATCTGTAGAAGGAAAAGAGATAAATACATTAGTATTAATTTATTAAGCACTTTCAATGCACTTTTGATTAAATTTTTAAACAGTGCAATTTTTCAAGGCGAACTAGGCAGCTTCTACTTGACCTTGGCTGGTACTGAAAAATTAAGCAACATGAGATTCTTTTTATGAGTCTTCTAAAAAATCCCAGATCTCTATTCTAGTCTGGAAATTCTCTAAAAATATATATCTGCAAAACATATTGCCATATCTATATTGCCAAAATGATATATGCCATGAGTTCAAGCTAAACTGAAAAAGACTTTATTTTTAAAGATTGACAGAAGATTTAAGTGCAGTAGAAGACAAGTTAACTTCAATGGCCTGCAGTAATAAAAGTTTTTTGTGAGATTGTGAAAGGTGCACAGATTTTGCTGGACTTCTGAAATGCAAGTGCCAGAGGTTCTTCCATAAAATGTTTTATATTATAATCATTGACACTTCGCTAAAATTTTATAGTTGAGGTTGAAGGGTCACTAGTTCCATTTTCCATCTGAAAGAGTCCTGGGTTTTGCTATTGCTTTTCCATATATTATTTCTCTTAATTGGATGATATATACAAAACCTATTATTTACTATAGAAAGTGTTTTAGAACAGGCAAAATTCTAATATCTTGCATCTAGTCACAGTTACCTTAAGGGATATCAGTGTTTATGATCTCAGTGATTTATGATAATATAGTCAAAAAGAAATAACGATGAATCTACAATAATGGCATTTATCCATCAGAGATGGGGAATTTGCAAATCTAGAGTCTCCAGCTCCTAGTTTTGAAACCCTCATTCAAAACATCCTTCTGGTAAGTCCTATGTCCTCCTCTTAGAGCAGTGGTGGCAAACCTATGGCACAGGTGCCAGAGGCGGCACTCAGAGCTCTCTCTATGGGCACGCGCGCCGTCGCCCCAGTCCTAGGCCTTCAGCTGGGTTTTATAAAACCTTTTCGCTTTAGGCCTCCGCCGCCGTGTGCAAAAAAAAAAAAAGGTTCAATCAATCAGTCAATTTCAACTTCTCGCAGGGAAAAAAAAAGATCTTGCAAAGTTGGAATTGATTGATTGAACTTTTTAGTCCCACCCAGTCTGCCATTACCACCGCAGCCACGCCCACCCAATGGGCCACACCCAGCCAATGGGCCACACCGACCCGGCACTCGACGATGCATAAGTGGGTTTTGGGTTGCAGTTTGGGCACTCAGTCTCTAAAAGGTTCGCCATCACTGTCTTAGAGCCTGCTTAGGAGAGATAACACCCCCTCCCTTACTTTTGGCTGCAACCCTGTTTGCCTCTGCATTGCCTGTCATAAACCCCATCCGAATGTGGCTTTTGACAAATTCTGTTATGGCAGACCTATTTAATTTCTTTTTGCTATTTTATCTATCTACAGAACAAAAAAAATTTCTTTCACATGTATATAAGTAAAGAATAACTTCCTTAAACTTAATCTGACAAGTAGCTGGTTTATTAAGTTGTTTAGTAGATGGTAGTCAGAATGCTAAGCAAATTTATTGATTTGTTTGCCTGCTCATATGAGTGGAAGGACAAAATATCAAATTTGTTCACAGAAATATAAGAATCTTGATTCACTATTATGTCAATGATATTAGAGAAGGAAAGAAAATTGGCTACTACACCTAACTTCACAGCATGGTCAACATGACCTTAATCATACAGAAAACATTTTGCATATTTTGAAATAGGGAAAAAAATGATGGAAATGAATTCTCTCACACGCAATCATGTGCAAAACTTCTTTTTCGCATGTAGGATTAAATTTATTCTCTTTCTTTTCCTCCTGCTCCTAACAAGACTGTTATCAGAAAGGTTTTGTCCCTTTTCTCTATCTCTAGAAGTGTACTGATTCCTCCACTGTTACACTGATTTCACAAACACTGATAGGCTTCTCTGTGATGTGGCATTAGGTGCACTTAGAAAGCAAATATCTCTTGGGAATGAGTTGCCATCTTCTCATTGTAAAGGAGAATAAGAGCTGATAACATCATGTTAGAAGACCTCTTCTACTTTTAGAGAACTTCAGATGGGTGCAACATTTGGTTTGATTTCTCCTACCTCTAAGATTACTGGGATTTGAAAATGATTTTTACAGTTTGGGCAAGATTCCATTATATATTTGTCAGCAAGCTTTCTGTTCCCTGAATTTCTATTTACCCTCAGAATTTGTTAGTAATTACATCATTTAAAGTAAGGATTTGACAATTTTCAAGCTTTAGAAATTCACAGAAGATATTTTAAAAATTACTTGAATTTCCACTGTAGAAGATATTCCTTTCCCTCCATCTTGCAAATATGCTTCTTGAATCCACTGACTCAGCTGGAATCTCAGGTTATGCTTGATTTCTTTCAATAAGAGGTTACCCATTTCATCCATATATGTAACAGTGTCTATCATTCATGGCTCTGTTTTTTTAAGACCATAGTACCGTTTTGTTTTACTTCAAGCTATTTTCAGCTATACAATGCAGTAGATTTTCTAAAAGAAATAAATCACTGCAATCCATAATATGCAGGGTTCTTCACTTGATATAATTCATGAGGGTAATAGATAAAATATGTAGCCCATAATTACTTAGAACTACTGTAGCTGGGAATATAATAATGTAATGTAATATTATAATATAATATAATATAATATAATAAATATAATAATATAATATAATATAATATAATATAATATAATATAATATAATATAATAATATAATATAATATAATATAATATAATATAATATAATATAATATAATATAATATAATATAATATAATAAATATAATATAATAATATAATATAATATAATATAATATAATATAATATAATATAATATAATATAAATATAATATAATATAATATAATATAATAATATTTTAACCCAGAGCAATATCTAAGTTATCAACAACTAATTTTAAATTCAGGTACTTGTAATAACTACTTCTATGTAATTCTACCTGTTCCATTGAGAACCAAGAACCTATAAAATGTTTCTACGGTGACACACAAAAATAATTTCAAAAATACCTTGCAACAGATTGATCACTGTAGGTGATGCCGCATTGGAAGACAAGATCATGATGCGAAGGCCTCTCCAAAGAAAGGGGAGTCAGTGACTGCTGAGAAGGGACATGATGATTTTTCCAGCTCATTCCTATAAAATTTTCTGCAAAGGTGGTGATCCGGTCAGCCAGCTCATCAATAGTTACGCTGCTGGAACCAAATATACGAAAAAAGCCCTGCATTTCCTGGAGCAAGAATCGTATTTCTAAGATCTCTGGCTTGGGTTTCAGCAAATTTTCCTGATGTAGGAGATCAGACACAGAATAAAGTTCATAGAAGTCAGCTTCCCTCTGCAATCTCTTGTAGTCTGAGAAGTCACTGGGCAGGGCAAGCTGGAAAGTTCTTAAGCTATCCAAAATATAGCTGAAGAGAACTCCATCACGGTCCACAAAATACTGGCCATTTAGCAACTTAAATTCAGGGTCATTGCCATTCAACATTCTTGCCAATCTTGACTCAGGGAACTTTTGTAGTGTAGAAGGCCTTGTGGTAAATTTAAGCCCACCGACATTTAAAACAATTACATCTTGATTACTCATCCTCTTCACAGGAAAATTGAGTTGGCAGTAGATATATCCCAATATTATACAAATTTATGCAAAACAAAAAAACCCAAAAATACTAAATCAGCTTCTGCTTACACTTACAGTAGAATTTCACAAGCATAAGATTGCCGAGCAACAAAAACAATATATGTACACATTACATTGTTTACAGGATTGGTCTCCTGGTCACTTTGTAATTAAACTGTTTAAAAAGACAGCAGAAGTCTCACAACTCATATTTCAGGAAGTTGTTAGAGATTTGCCAGTCTGTAATGTTTATTTTCCCCCTGAAAAAAAGTTATCTTGGTGTACCCTTGGTGTAATGGTTAAGAGAAAAGGCTAGAAACTGAGAGATCGTTCTAGTCCTACCTTAGGCACAAAGTCAGCCAAATGACCTTTGGCCAGTCACCCTTCCTGAGCCCTAGGAAGAAGGCAATGGCAAACCACTTCTGAAATCTTGTGAGGAAAACTGCAGGGACTTGTCCAGGCAGGCATCAAGAGTCAACACTGACTTGAAGACATACAAAACAAATTGAAAATTCAACCTTAATCTATACTTCTGCCCACAGTCCAGATACCTCATGACTGTGGAGATCTTTAAAAATGTATTTATTTGCTGAATTTCTGGATCATTTCTTGATTACTTTCTAAACACAAATAATCTTATTCTTGTTACTCTACAAGAATCACAATTCTATACATTGTGCTGATCTCAAACTAAAAGCAAATGATCATGCTTTTAAAATTCAGGACTGAAGTTTCATAATATAGGAATAGTGATTGCATTTTAAACTATTTAAACAATACTACAAACCATATCTTTGTTTCTTGAACCTGATAGCTATTTGTTATCCATTAAGGCAGGGGTGTCAAACTCACAACATCGTGTGACGTGTCACGACGTATCGTGACTTTTTTGCCATTGCTGGCAATGGGGTGGGTGCGGTTTCACTATGATGCATCCAGCCCACGGACCAGCAGTTTGACACCCCTGCATTAAGGCAAAGATTTGACTTGGAAATTCAATTCAGATTCAATGATTCATCTTAAATTCTGAACTTAAATTGATTTGTCAAATGATACATTTAATATTAAATATAAAAAATAATTTGGCAATGTGTATTTCAACAGTTGAACTACAGTATAAGTGCTATAGCATACAGACTCATCTAGGTGCACACTCTGTATTTGTGCACAATCCATTTCCTAATTAGTTTAGGGAGCAATATATTATTGTGATTAAGGATGTTAAAATCTAATTGAGATGAAGGTTCATATTCCACTCAACAATAAAGCTCATTAAGAGAGGCTCAGACCTCTGAATTACTATAATCTATTTTGTTGTTACAAGAAAAAAAAATGAATGGAAGCCAAATATATTTAGGTACAGTGTAAGAGATTTCTCTCATCAATTTCCCACACATTTTGTTATAAAAGGGTTCATTAAACACTCTTCCACTGAAGCACAAACTGTTTATTACAGTAACGGAGGCAGTTAATAAAACCTAAAAAAGGTGGTATGCAATATGAAATATAGTGGTATGCAAATTAGAATATACATATGATTCAATAACCTTAAAGTATCTGGATCCAGCAACACATGTATTTATTGTAAGGCAATGAGAATGGTAATAGGTCAGTGAAGATGCTCAGCTATCCAGGTAGAATTTTTTGGAAGTTGAGTCATGGCAACTGGATTTCTTTTCTTGTTGGTTTGAACCAACAAGAAAAGAGGTTCAATTGCCATCACTCAACTTCCAGACAAGGGGAACAGTGCTATAATAAAAAGAATATAGTGCACTGAGAAGCTTCATTATTTGCACTAGTTATTTTCTGGCGCATGATTTTTTAAAATATCTTCCAATGATCTTGCTCCCCAGAGCTGTTCTTGCCTGGTTTTCCTTTTGTAATTTAATTAACATTCCATATGTAGTTTACTCAATAGTATTCCAAGTTCTTTAACTATATAAGTGCACCAAATTCTATTGTGTTGCAAATGTCCAAACTTTAGTTTATACTTCCATTAGTTATGACTCAAGAAGATTGGTATTTAAATATTGATGTTGACTGGATTCACACATAGGAAGCAATAACATGTATGATTATGGATTGTGTGAAATTATCCACCTTGACAAGATTGCATGAATTCAGCCAGTTTTGTTTATTCAAACAAATCTAACTAGTTTAAAACAAATCTAACTAGTGATACATGATCCTAGCCATAGTACAGTAAAATTCTTAATCAGTGGGCTCCAGATATTGCAGCCAAATCACCATCACATCCGCTCTTAATCATGTTTATCTTAGAAGACATTTTAAATTGAGGCAAGGCCAGCTGGCATCATAAAATAGCATAACTAATGGTTCTATAGCTTTTTTCTAGTATCACTTTGGTTCTGTAAAGCTTTTTTTTCCCCTCTTCAATTACTTTCTTGTTTATACATTGTACACATACTTGGATTTGCATCCAATGGTGTTTTCTAGTGAATAAAAGAACATGATTTAGGGATGTTTTTCCATAAAAATACCCTTCAAAACAGCACGAATCAATCAAAAATATTTATTTGGTCAATAACCAGCAAAATGTAAAAACAGACTGAAGCAAATAAATACAATAATATACTTAGCAGAATAAATCACAGGACATAACAGTCTTTATTACAATGACAATACAATATAGCATTAATAGGTATAAAATAAAAATAAACTGATTTGATCATTTGTTGAAAACCAGTTTAAGGTTAACAATATTCCATACCATGCTAAATGTGATTTTAGGGATTTATTATCTAACAGGTGTGCACAAATTTCTATAGTTTCTGTGGCTTCCATCCAGTTAGCAAGTGCTATTACATTAATTTTCCATTTAATCACACCTTGGAATAGTCATTTTCAAGAATTCAAGGGTAAGTTGTTTCAGCTCTTCCATATTTCTAAGCAGATGTTCATAGTTAATTTTAGGGTATGCTGGTCACTTTCTAATCATGAGTCTATCTCTAGCCTTTCAGAACAGCAAAGAGGCTGTGGTGTATAGTTACCGGTATATCTAGGAACTAGAATTACTAAAATGGATTTCTGCTTCCCTTAAGAAAAGTCAATGGCCACAAATTATTTACTACTGCATATAATAACAGCAGCACGAATAGCCTTCGCTTAAAAATGGAAAGAGAAAGATACTCCAACCGAAGAAATATTATTGAAAAATTTTAATTGCGCTAAAATGGATAGACTTACATGGGAACTCAAGGACAAAAGTGAAACCAAGTACTATAAAATCTGGGAACAATTTTATGATTGGATAGACAATAAGAGGGTAGCCAAGATAAATGTATAGTGCTAGAATAAAATATAGATTATAGACAAATGTATATTTAAAAGATAAATAGATATATAGAAATAAGGGAAAAAGTGTTAATAGTATACTATAAATAGTGAGCAAAGTTCAAGAACTATATGTCTATATGAGTACTAATACTATTGTAAAATGTTGGAAGATGTATGGAACCAGTGACGTCATATCTATGTCCAATGTGTTTTTAATTTTGTGTTATTAATAAAAATTTATATATATATAAAAAGAAAAGTCAATGGCAAAGCCAGCAGGAAGTCAGAAGCTGCTCCTGCTCCCACTGCTTTATCTGCCTGTGATTATTCTATTTCTCTGTTTAGATAAGGAAATATCTCTGAAACAATGAGCGAAACAATTGTGGGTTGTCTAGTCATCATTTTATGTACTGTAGTGTCTTCTCCACCACAGTTGATGAACCTCACTACATTTGAACTACAATAGTAATTTTTTAGTTATGCCTTGTCTGAAAAAAATTAAGCAGCTACATCATTTCCTAAGTTTCCATAGGTGAATTGTGATCCTGTGGGGGAAAAAAACATTGAGTTTAAGGAGCTGAAGACAGGTGCCATGGTTGTCTGTCTTCACCCTTTTGCTTTTGCTGCAGAGCACTACAATAAAGTTGCCTTCAAATTGAATTTGACCATGGACATGTATTTTTCTTGTTAAAAATTCATTACAGAATTAGTTTTTATTTTTCCTGTGGAATTTTTTTCAACACCCAGTCACTATCTTTTATTGATTATGTATTCAGTTGTATTAAAGAATTAATTTCCAATGTATGCAATCTTTCATTTATATAGAATTTTATAAATTTTATCATGTAATTTTTTTCTATGAAAATTTCCAGTTGAACCATTTTTAATGGAATTTCACCAGCTCCTATCACCTGTGCTGCTCCTTTCAGGGTCTTTTTCAACTTCAATATTGTTTTAATATACCAGCCATAATTGTACAAGATGCTAAAAATGCAGTAGCAGCAAACATTATAGAAATAATGGTGTTACTATAGATTATTAATTTAATCTGGAATACTTTCTTAATTACCATTTGACCTGAAACCAATACCAGATGGTACCTTTTGCTAAGTTATTTATCATCATCCCAATAATAAAAAGAAAAAAGAATGACATTGCTATAGGCATATATTACAGGACACCCAACCAAGCAGAAGAAGTAGATGAACTTTTTACTAAACAATTAACAAATGTATGTAGGAAACATACCACAATAGTAATGGAAAACTTTACCTAGATATCAACTGGCAGACAAACTCTGTAGCAAGTGGGAGATCAAACAGATTCCTAAATAAACTAGCTGACAACTTTGTCTTCCAAAAGGTGGAAGAGGGAACTAGAGGAAAAGCTATATTGGATCTAATTCTTATTAATAGATAAGAAGTGACATAGGGAGTTGAAACTGCCGGAATATGGACAAGAGTGACCATGTCATATTGGAATTCAATATAATGCAAACACATGCAATAAAACATAATCCAACCAATGTCTTAAATTTTAAAACTGATTTTAACTAGCTCATGGAGAGCCTAAGAAAGATTTCATGGATGAAAATTTCAGTTTCAAGCATGTGAAACTGAAAAATATGATTGTAAGAGCCCAGTCCAGTAGAATACCACTGAAAAAGAAAAACAAGAAATTCAAGAAGAAACCAGCACGGCTGCACAAAGATCTCCCTGATAAACTGAAAGACAAAAAAGACAAGTACAAAAAAGGGAAAGAGGAACATATAACTAAGGCAGAATATCAGCAGATAGCCCGAATCTGCAAAGATGAAAACAAAGGCCCAGAATGAGCAAAGACTTGCAATAAAAGTTAAAGATAATAAAACATATAAATAACAAGAAAAAAGTCAAGGTAACAGTTGGTTCACTAAAGAGAGAAGATGACAGGGAAGTAACTGGCAGCAGAGAGAGAAAGCAGAGCTGCTTAACTCATTCTTTGTATCAGTCTTCACACAAAAAGAAACTATACCCCAATCTACCCAAAACTTAACCCATAAAAGAAATAAAAATTAAAATAAGCAAGAAAATGGTTAGACAACATCTATCTGATCTTGATGAATATAAATCACTGGGACCTGACAGAGTCCTGAAGGAGCTGGCAGATATTATCTCAGAACCATTGTATCATATCTTTCAAAAATTTTGGAACACGGGAACTACCTAAAGATTGGAAAAGAGATGATGTGCTTTCCATCTTCAAAAGGACAGACCCAGGAAACTACAAACCAATCAGCCTAACATCAATACCTGGGAAGATATTGGAAAAGATAATCAAAAAACAGATCTGCGAACATCTAGAAACAAATAACTAAAAGCAGCAAGGGTTTGTTAAAAACAGATCATGCCAAGCCAATCTTATTTCATTCTTTGACAAAGTGACTAAATTAGTAGACCGGTGAAATGCTGTGGAAATAGTATACTTAGACTTCGACAAGGCATTTGACAAAGTAAACCACAACCTACTTCTTGGTAAGCTAGAAAAATGTGGGATCGACAGCATCACCAGGAGGATTTGTAACTGGCTGACAAACCGTACTCAGCTAGTCGACCTTAATGGTACTACATCTACATGGAGAGAAGTAAGTAGTGGGGTACCACATGGCTCCATCTTATACCCAAGTCTTTTCAATATCTTCATAAATGACGTATATAAGGGAATAGAAGGGAAACTCGTCAAATTTGCAGATGACACTAAGCTGGCAGGAATAGCCAATACCCCAGAAAACAAGCTCAGGATCCAAAAAGATCTTGACTTGAACAATGGGCCCTATCCAACAACATGAAATTTGATGTGTAGAAAAGTAAAGTTTTATACCTAGGCAGGAAAAACCAAGGCTACAAGTACAGATTAGACAAAACCTGGCTCAAAAAGAATAAGTGTGAGAGGGACCGAGTGGATGTTCACTTAAACATGAGGCAGCAATTTGTGGCAGCAGCCAAAAAAACTTGGCTGCTGATAAAAAACAAGATCGCCAACATGATCGCCAACGTCCGATAACAGATATGGCACAAGAAGAAGATAAACAGAGGCATAGAATCAAAATCACGTGATTTATAGAACCTTAGTAAGAACATACCTGGAATACTATATCCACCTTTGGATACCACATTACAAAAAACATGTTGAGACTTTGGAAAAAATGCAAAGAAGAGCAAATAAGATGATTAAAGACCTGGAGTCTAAAACATATGAAGAACGGTTGCAAGATTTGGGTTTGGCTAGTCTACAGAAAAGAAGGACTAGGAGGGACATGATAGCAATATTTCAGTATTTGAACAGCTGCCACAAAGAGGAGGGGTTCAAATTATTTTCTAAAGCACCAGAGGGCAGGACAAGAAATAATGGATGGAAACTAATCAAGGAGAAGCAATTTGGAATTAAGGAGAAACTTCCTGAGTGAAGTCATTTAACCAGTGGAGCAGCTTGCTATCAGAAGTTGTGGGTGCTTCATCACTGGAGGTTTTTAAAATGTGACTGGACAGTTACTTGTCTGAAATGGTAGGGTTTCCTGCTTGAGCATGGGGTTGGACTAAAAGACCTCTAATGTCCCTTCCAACTCTTATTCTGATTGATTGAACTTTTCGGTGACCACTAGCCTAGATGCCATTCTATGTATATATAAAGAGGTAGTACTTGTTCCCATTTGTATAATAGATGAAATGGCAACCTCCATAAAGTATCAAACCAAAACACTACTTTTTTACAAAGCAAAGAAACAGAATTTTTCTTCTTCAGCTACATCATAGTAGTACCACTTGTCATTATAAATGAAAAATATTTTAAAATATGCAAAGCCACTGGCTAACATTTTACTGCCTGGTGAATTTGGGCAGAATATTTTAGTTTTTCTTTCCCTACTCCTCTTAAATCATCATAGTTAGTCACCCTTGTCCTTTATGATGAAAATAAAATGCCCTGGATCCAGCGCAGCACAAATCTTAGGATTTTTTTTTCTTCCAATAAGAAATAATCCTCTTGAAATGCATAAAGCTTTGCTTTTCCAGGACGATGGACGATTTGTATCCCACCACTATGAAGCATGATCATTAGCTTTTGTACACATTGTATACAGATCATCCTTATGGACTATTCAATCAGCGACTATTTAAACTTATAACAATGCTGAAAAAAAAAATTCCCTTCTCCCAATGAAGAAACTGGAGAGTTTTCAAAGGCATACAGTATTGCAAGCTGTTTCTATAGTTTGCCTACAACTCCCTCTTGGGCCACCAGTATGACTACATAGCTTTCCATCTGCAGAAGACAGTAAGCCCTTGAAAGCACATAAAAACCAAAAGGTATGAAACTGACTATAGGTAGTCTTAAGAGTTATGATGGCAATTGAATTCCATTACTAAGTTCATTTGTAAAGCATGCCATGTGATTGTATTGCCTAGTGATGGCAATCCCTGCAGCCCCTATTGTTGTTAAATGAAGAATCATTAAGCAAGTACCTCCTTGTAACTTCCTGCTATCTTTCAACATACAAAGTCAGCAGGAAAGCCAGCAGGAAGTTCCAAGTCCCAGGCACTCTGCAATTCCGTTGCCAGGAAGTGGCTCCTGCTGGGTAACAGGGAATTAAGGGTGTGTGGTTGGCTGGGGAGAGGCGGCATGAGCGCATTGAGGGTTGGGAAGGGTGTATAGGTGGCAGAGCTGAATGCAGAGGGGCTGGGGGAGAATGCCCGAGTAGACTTAACTGAGCAACTTGCAAGCTGGAAGGGATGTTGGAGGTCTTCTAGTCCAGCCACCTCCTCAAGCAGGAGATCCTATATCATTTCAGACAAGTGATTGTCCAGTCTCTTCTTAAAAACTTTAGAGTGATGAAGCACCCACGTCTGAAAGCAAGCTATTCCGCTGGTGGATTGTCCTGATAGGAAGTTTCTCTTTAATTCCAGGTTGCTTCTCTCCTTGATTAGTTTCCATCCGTTGTTTCTTGTCTTGCCTTCTGGTGCTTTGGAAAATAAATTGACCCCCTCTTTGTGGCAGCCCCTCAAATACTGGAACACTGCTATCATGTCCCCCCTAGTCCTTCTTTTCTCTAGACTGGCCATCCCCAAATCCTGCAAACATTCTTCATGTTTTAGTCTCCAGGACTTTAATCATCCTAGTTGCTCTTTTTTGCACTTTTCCCCAAAGTCTCAACATCTTTCCCTGCTGGCTTCTCCATTATGGGAAGCTTGGAGGTTAGGTTGCAAAATGAAAACATGTTACCATGAGATGCTGCAACCATCGGCTGAGCCACTTGCAAGTATCCAGATTGTGATCACATGATTATGAAGATTTTGGGACGGCCAGAACTTTGAGGACCAGCCATAATCATTACGGAATGAGTGGACTACCTGTAGTCTTGTCTCTTTCCAGCTGGAAAGCACAGTTGTAGACATGTGATTTCCCACTTAATGACCACTTCTCTTAGTGGCAGAGCTGCTGGTCCTGATTAAAGTTGTATACAAAGACCTGTATTGTTGCAATAGTATGTGGAATTATCTTGGGAGACTGGGCAAAGTAATGCTACCTAGCAAATGTCCTGTAAGAGGGAGCACAGTCCACAGGGACATAGTAAGCAGAACAAGGAGCTCAGGAAGGACACCTCCCCAAAATATAAGGCTGTAAAAGTGATGGTGAGAGGGCTGTACTTTTAGACTTGCAAGACTCTCCTAATGTAGCTTTACAATGAAGTAGAACTAGCATACCTGGCTATGTGTCCTAGTCTACCTGGTAAGCGTGACCACTGTAACCGCAATGCCTCCATCATGTAAATAATGCCCAAAGTGAACTTTCTATGCTCATTTGTGCAGGACCCACATCTGACTACAAAATTCCCTCCCAAAAGACTCTCTCACATCACTCCCTAACAGCATGAACTTGTCTAACATTTCATAGATTTGGCCATTGACAAGTCTATACAACTTGTGTTACTGTAATTGTTAGTTGTAAAAATACTTGTGATTTGCAAGCCCAAGATGTTCCACAGTTTCATTTTGTAGAGAGTTGTTTATAAGCATACAAAAGTTAATACATTGTTACTTCCTATGTTCACATATACCATAACAAATTACAAAATTTGCAATATTTCTGAAGGACCAGGACTTGTGGTAGTAATATACAATCATTATTTATATATTATATTTCCATGCAAATATCTTTCCAACTTATACTCCAATCTGAAACTCAACCATATTTTATAAATCAAAAAGATTTATATGTTCCACTATGCATATTACTTTCTAAAAAAATCAAGTCATGTAGTTTTACTTTCAGAAAACAATAAAGGTAGTCAGCTTTTAACATGAGAGTTGCAGAATAGTTCAATATATGAATTATGACCATTTCAAATATCAAAAATGTTTACATTTTAAAAAAAAATCTAATACTGATTTTGAAAATATACTTCCTGAACATGAATAGATTTATAGAAGTTTATACATGCACACAAATTGGGCAACATTATTCAACAACACATGAATATAATTTACACATTTTTCACTTAGAACAGCAGCACTATCTGCTACTTTTTCCCAGTACAGAATAGCATGATCTGCCATCTCTGCTGGGTCTGTCAGATAACCTGGGCCAAATGTAGAAACAAAAGTTTTCCAATGCTGAAAAGTATTGCCCCAAAAATCTGTAATACATACTTGAGTAACAACAACCAGCAAACAAAACAAAGCAGTTACAAAAAAACATGGTGAAAGGAACAAGTTTGTCACCCAACTGAAAGAGCTTTTCTCTTGAGGTAGTGAAAGTTTATCCACATCTGCTAGCTTAAATTGTTCCCACTGACTAGTATCAACATCCTTAATTGTAGATTTGATGTCTACTGTAACACAAGGCAATCTAGTTTCCTTTATTACTTTGATTTTCTCTCTAAAATCTTGCATCTGTTGTAAAAACAAAATGGGTTCAGATACATCCTTAAATGTTTCTGCAATATTAAATGCAGTTTCCTGCTCTTGTATGATAGTGTTCAGTTTGTTGATTTCTGGATCATAGGCCTGCATAACTGCAAGCTTCATGGTTTCAAAATCTGAGAGGATCTCATTCTTCTTTTGTTCCAAGGTATACTGTAATTTCTCAAAAAAATCTTTTACTCTGTCATAATCCTTTGTCAACATCTGAAGAGCTTTTCGTTTACTGGTTTCCAAAGTTCCTAGTCGAGAAAGTGCGTCTCCACAGTGCCATGCTTCAAACACTTGGGACAGTGTCTCAAAAGCACGTTTTTCTTGACAGTAAGCATCCTCAATAGAGCAAAAGAGATGTTTTATGTGATCTCCTCGAGTGGCACAAATGCCACATATCAGCTGTGTGTCTGTCTGGCAAAAAATATTAAGAGGCTGACCACTGTGCACTTTACAGACAGGCATTTTTGTTGATATTTTAATCTTATTATATTTTTCCACAATGCCTTTTAGTGAATAGTTAACTTGGAGACTGTTAACCCCTGTTACTGTAGTTTCCTTTCGACATGTGGGACATTTAAAAGGTGATGGTCTCCAAATCACATTCCGAGTATTTCCCTCTAAGATCCCTTCCAAACATTTCCTGCAGAAGTTATGTGAACAAGACAATGCCCGTGGATCATCAAACAAGCCACAACAAATGGGACATGTAAGGTCTTCTTCAAGGAGCTCCATTCTTCTCTATAACAAAGAGAGATAAAAATATGAGCAACTAATACTCTTAAGAAATTGAAATTCTTGCATGCATTTCTACATAAAACTACTTTGCAAAAGAACATAAAAAGAAGTTTGGTGAATTTACTTACCAGATCCATAAAATGGCAAGAATTTCAACATTGCAAATGAATAAGGAAAGGTAGAAAATGTTATTCTGTGACTAACCCTTCTTCAAATAAAATTAAAAATGGATAAGGAACATAAGTAACAGTCCATAAGGCCTGATGCCCTTGGTGCTGGAATGAACAGTTGCAGAAGTGGAATGATGTAGTTACATGTAACACAAGAAGGGATTTTCAAGGGCTCTGCAGGTACAACATAGTCTGAACAGTAATTCCTTAGGGTGAACTCTGCCCCTGATGGTTTATAGATATGTCCATGTAATTCTCTTACCAAGAATATAAGTGTTTTGCTATTATCAATTTCTGAGGTTTTCCCTAACTTCTTTGACTAGAAAAGCAATTAAACCATAATAGCTTCAGAAAATTCCAGTAGCCCCTGCCAATGACCATTAATACCATATGATAATTCAAAGCAGTAAGCTAATGCTATTCTCTCAAGATATAAGATTTTCCCAAGCAGTGTCCCCATGCCACGATATGACCTTTACTCAGAGTAGTTATCAAATTTTTGGTTTGGGATCCCTTTTACATTCTTAAGAGTTTTGGTTTATGTGGGTTATATCTATTGATCTTTACTGTATTAGAAAATAAAACTGAGTAAGTTTAAAATATTTGAGTTTGCAGGTCTTCTGAAAGGAACTTGGGGACTCCCAGGGTTCCCCAGACCACCTTTAGGAACTACTGACCTATAGTTATCCCAAAGATGCTTTTTCACGAGGCAACTGGACTTTTTCTTTGAAGACGTTTCGCTTCTCATCCAGGAAGCTTCTTCAGCTCTGACTGGATGGTGGGGAATGGAAGGATTTATACTCCTTGCAGACAGCTGGTCATTTGCATTCTTTTAGCAAGTCATTAGTGCTACCATCTGTGTCTTCAGAGTCACCTGAGTAGTGCAAATAGGAGTGGAGCCTTCTTGGAACTGTTGAAAGGACTGTGTTGTAGACTGGAGATAGATGATGTCGTATCCCTCCCCCTCTGTTGAGAGAGGGCTGTTTAATTTTGACATAGATGGCCTCTTTGACCCCTTTTTCAAACCAGCGGTCCTCTCTGTCCAAAATGTGGACTTTGCTGTCTTTGAAAGAGTGGCCTTTGTCTTTTAAATGAAGATGGACTGCTGCATCTTGTCCTGATGCATTTGCTCTCCTATGATGCAAACCATCAGGACAAGATTCAGCAGTTCAGTTGAAAAAGCACTTTGGGGATAACTATGACCTGGATGACTGAGAATCTCCATAGACATTTACTGACCTATAGTTTTCTTTCATTTTTTCCTACTTGCGTTCTTTCTTATAAAAAGCAGGCAAGAGGCCTTCACTGCTTCCAGAGCAATTTTCAGCCTTTTTTTTTTAAAAGCTACATATTCACAACACTTGCTGGTTATTAAATCGGCCCCATTCTCTGAGTTTACACAATATACTAAAACGAAAGCCAACCAGAGGCTGGTTCACACAATATACAAGTCTAATATATGATCAGCTAGTTTGTGGTTTATGAATGCAAGTATGAAGCAATGGTTAAGGCATTAGGTTAGAAACTAGGAGCTTTGAGTTCTAGTCGCCTTAAACAGAAAGGCAGCTGGGTGACTTTTGGGTCGGTCTCTCTCAGACCTAGGAGAGGCAAAGGCAAACCACTTCTGAAAAACCTTGGAAAGAAAACCGCAGCGCCATCACCAGGAGACAACACAGAGCAGGCTGAAATGGGCTTCGACAGCTTTGTCAAGGCACCTGACGTCGAAATACAAATGGACAAATCGTAATTTTTGTGTGTTAAGAACCTGGCCCTGGATGGTTGGCGTGACCGTGCAAAACACAGCCAGAGGGCACCAGAGCGCGTGGCATTCGCTAGCTCAATCACAGCAGGCGCCTCCCCGACTGCTGGGAACGGGGCAGAGGCCTTCAGCCTCACCTGCGAGAGACGCTTACAGTACGGTGTAGTAGGCAGGTCCAACGGAAGCCATCCTCAAGAGCTGCAGTGGCAGCGCCGTCCGGCTCATTCCTTCCCTTCCACAGGAAGCGACAAAAAAGAAGGCCTGCCAGTCAAAGCCCAGCTCACCTGTAGATCGCCTTCAGCGGGCCCCGCCCATGGTTCCTAAGAAGGCACGCGAGAATGCAAGTTCTACCGTGGAGGATACCTTTCCAGTCCTTTTTAGATCCAAACTGGGACCCGGTGGGGCAGGACTTCCGCTCTCCCTCCTTTTCCGCTTGGCCACAGACAACATCCGCGCAAGCTGCCCAGAAAGGCCATTTTCATGTGCTTGAGGCTACGCCTTGACGTCATGACGTAGATGGGCGGGGCTTGGGTTTCTGCCTCTTCTCCAATCACGTTTGAAGTGGCTTTTTCCTCGCCTCGTCTTCTCTGTTGGCTGGAACTGGCGATGGGGGTCGTGTCCTAAAATTAGCTAGGAAGTATTTGCAGGAAAGGAAGCACCAGATTCGGTTTTCATTTACCGATAATGGCTGCTTTCATAAGAAACACTGACTCTTCCAGTGATTTTCAAACTTGGTAACTATGTGGACTTCAACTACCAGAATTCCCCAGCCAGCATGAAGTCCCACATCTTAAAAAAATTGGCAACTTTGAAAAACATTATTCAGAGTCTTTCAAGCCTGGATTTGGGGTCAAAACATCATTAATTTCAGCTCCCTAGATATGCTATTGGATATGGTACTTAACTGAGCAAAACACTTCTGAAAAACTTTGTAACCAAACTACAGGGCCTTGTCCAGGCATTCTCTGAGAACTGGACACTATTGAACAGGGGGGGAAACCTTCCAGAGAGGATTATTTTCAATAGAGCTTATAATTTATGAATGGGGAAACGGTCCCTGCCTAGCAAATCAGTTGGGATTTGGTTAACAATGGGAACAGCTGCTGAGATCAGTGTCACTAAGCAATGCAGTCATGTGATGTTTCACTCTATGATCACATCACTTAATGCTGGAAATTCCAGTCCCAATTACCATTTATAAACCAGGCACTACCTGTACATCCTTTTTTACAACATTGTTGAGCATCAGGACCTAAATAATTCCTAAACCTAATTTACTGTATATAGCAAGGGTAGTCAACCTTGGCTCTTTTATGACTCGTGGACTTCAACTCCTAGAATTCCTGAATTCTGGGAGTTGAAGTCCACGAGTCATAAAAGAGCCAAGGTTGACTACCCCTGGTATATAGTCTCTCAAGCCACAATGATGCATAAGTTCAACTTCCAGTGGGTTTAGACCCCATAGAACAGTGATTCTCAACCTGTGGGTTGCGACCCCTTTGGGGGTTGAACAACCCTTTCACAGGGGTCACCTGTTGTTCGTCCATCGATTTCGATGAAGACCTTGACATCTTGTGGATTGTGGGCCATCAACGGTGTGTCCGTAGATGGCTGATTAGACCGATGTTAGCACGGAATGTTCTGCCACATACTGAACAGAGAAATGTGAACACTGTTGCTTCAGCATTTGCAGCTCTGGCTTTACGGAGTGCTCGCTTCTCTTGTGCCAAGATTGTCCTCCTGTGTTCATATGTCTGGCACCCCTGGTAAACCAGGGTACGCCATGTCGGTCAATCATGCGCCAAAAATTCCCAAGAGATGGTGTTGATATCCAGGGACTTGAGAGATGCTTTCAGCGTGTCTTTGTATCGCTTTTTTTGTCCCCCGTGCGATCGTTTTCCTTGAGACAGCTCACCATAGAAGAGCTATTTAGGGATGCGATGGTCTGGCATCCTTACAACGTGGCCTGCCCAGCGCATCTGGGCTTTCATCAACAGAGTGTAAACTGATGATAGGCCTGCTCTGGAGAGGACCTCTGTATCTGGTATCTTATCCTGCCACCGGATCCTCAGAATTCTACGAAGGCAAGTCATGTGGAAGTAATTCAGTTGCCTAACGTGCCTCCTGNGATGAAGAGGCCAAAGTTGTCACAAGCGGCTGCAAATTTGTCCATGCTGGCTTGCATTTCCTGCTCCGATCCTGCATTAAGGGCACAGTCATCAGCAAAGAGAAGATCTCGTAGCACAGTCTCCTTTACCTTGGTGACAGCCTGGAGTCTGCGCAGGTTGAACAATTTCCCATCGGTTCTGTACCTCAGATTGACTCCCGCTGAGCTGTTCTGAAAGGCGTCAGACAGCATGGCTGAAAACATCATGCTGAACAAGGTTGGTGCCAGCACACAGCCTTGCTTAACGCCGTTTGTGACAGGGAAAGCCTCTGAAGCTTGATGGCATGGCGGCTCAGAACACGAGCCGCCATGCCATCATGGAACTGCCGTACCATCAGAATAAATCTGTCAGGGCACCCAAACTTCGACATAATGTGCCATAATTCTTCACGACTAACTGTGTCAAAAGCCTTGGTGAGATCCACAAAGGTGGTGTATAGTTCACGATTCTGCTCCTGACATTTCTCCTGGAGTTGTCGAGCTGCAAAGATCATGTCCACCGTGCCACGCTCTTTGCGGAAACCACACTGTGTCTCAGGTAGTAGACCCTGTTCCAGATGGTCAATCAGGCGATTTAGCAACACTCGTGCAAAGATCTTGCCTGTGACGGAGAGAAGTGATATTCCTCTATAATTATCGCAGACTTGTCGATTTCCTTTCCTCTTGTAGAGGTGCACGATGGACGCATCTTTCAGTTCCTGAGGGATGGAACCTTGTTTCCAGAAAGACCGGAACAGCTGGGTGAGTTTTACAACAAGCACAGCACCACCAGCCTTATAGACTTCTGCTGGGATTGCATCAGATCCTGGCGCCTTACCACTGGAACACTGACTGATGGCCTGTGAGGTTTCAGCCTCTGATGGTGGGACATCCAGGCTATAGTTGATATCCACCTGGGGTATTCTGTCGATCGCCTCATTATTGATGGTGGATGGGCGATTCAGTACAAAGTGGAAATGCTCAGCCCAACGCTGTAAAATCAGATTCCTCTCAGTGATGAGAGTTGCACCACTCGAATCCAATAAAGGGGAGCTTCCTGAGGGCTGAGGTCCATACAGGGATCTAAGAGCTTCATAGAACCATTTGGCATCGTTTCTATCAGCAAACTTCTGGATTTCATCTGCTTTGGCACTCAACCAGGAGTCCTGCATCTTGCGGAGCTTGCTCTGTACAATCCTGCGAGTGTTAGTAAAAGCATTTTTCTTTGCAGTTGAAGATGGGTCATTCTGATGAGCACGGTAGAGGTGGTGTTTTTCAGCAAGCAAGGCCTTAATCTCTTCATCGTTTCCTATGGTCGTTCCTAAGACCATAGGAAAACACATATTTCCGATGGTCTTAGGAACCTGTCTCGCTTTCAACTCCCCCTAAAATTCTTCATTCAGGCAGGCTTCCAGAGTTCGGCCGGCAGGATGCAGGTAACCCCTCCCCGTCCTGCCGCCTCCCATAGCACCGTGCCGCGCTGTGTCCCACACCGCAAGCCTCCGTGGCACAGAACCGCTGGCGTGGTCCCCAATGGCCGCTGACACACTCCCCGCTGCTGGCGACCATGCAAGACCTGGCAATTGCTCTAGCCGAAGAAGTGGGTGGCTGGGAGGCCGCCGTGGTGCCGATCTTCTGCGCCCGTCAGCTGGCAACCCCCTAAATTTGCGCTTGTCAGCTGGGAGGTCTGGCGACGGAGTCAGCTGGCGTGGAGGGCGATGGGGAGGTGGCGGCTCGGCGGGCGGGTTCCCGCCTGCCTGCGAATGTTGGGCTCACAGGGCTCGACACAGTCGACGGTCAACATAACTTCCCTCCTCGGATGAGAAAGAAGGAATCTCTCCCGCCCGTGTCCCTTCCCCCCCTCAAGCGACAACAGGAGGTTGCAGACAACTAAGTCAGCCGGTGCAGGAAGCCCTGGAATGGCCAGTCCAGGGCGCCTGGTTGCAGTGCTGGATGTCTTTTGCTCCTCCTAGAAGCCGGTGGCAAGAGAAAGAAGTCGTTCAAACTTCAAGCTAGCTACTGGACGCCTATTCGCACTTCTCCCCCCCTTTTTTTTTTGAGTACTTGTCTGCCAACCCACCCCATCTGTAAAAGAAAAAGTCTTCTACCCAAGCATAACTTTTAAGGATTTTAAGGATCTTTGAGAAAGAGAGGGAGAGAGAAATAGAGAGAGGGAGAGAAAGAGGGAAAGAGAAATACAGAGAGGGAGAGAGAGAAAGAGAGAGGGAGAGAGAGAAAGAGGAGAGAGAGAAAGAAAGAGGGAGACAGAGAGAGAGGGAGAGAGAAAGAAAGAGGGAGCGATTAAATTAGTAACATGGTTGTTAAGTGAATCTGGTTTCCCCCATTAACGTTGCTTGTCAGAAGGTTGCAAAAGGCGATCACATGACCTGGAACAATGTGACCATCATAAATATGAATCAGTTGCCAAGCATCAAAATGTAAATCACATGACCCTGGGGATGCTGCAACGGTCATAAGTGTGAAAAATGGTCATAAGTCATTTTTTTCAGTGCCGTTGTAACTTTGAACAGTCACTAAGCAAACTGTTGTAAGTCAAGGACTACCTGTACTTTTATCACTTTTTTCCATTTTTTTTGGTCAAGTTTTTGACACCTCACTAGGTGACTGGTGGTACTCGAATGTTGCCATATTCTAAAAGTGGTACAATCGGTGAAAAGGTTGAAAAGCCCTGCACTAATGGACCAATTATTTCCTTTACTGTTTTCTTGTTTTTTACATGTTGAAAGAAGCTTTTTTTGTTATTTTTGACTTTGGTCGCAAGCCTTAGTTCATTTTGAGCCTTAGCTTTCCTCACTTCATCTTTGCAGGCTCGGAGTATTTGCTGATATTCTGACTTAGTATACGGATTTGTATACTTCTCATTCATGCCATTTTCGTTGTGCTCTTGCAAAGACTGCCCTGAGAATTTCTGATCTGGTGAGAAAGAAGCAGTCTCAACCTTCGCACTGACGTTGGCTTTTTGCGCATACTGTGGCAAAATGTAGCAATGTAGTTTACTGTTGTTATATTAAGACTGTTACCCATGCTACACCATGTTTCAAGACAAAATTTCATTTATTTGTAATTAGAAATAAATATTTCACAATATATAATTACATATAATGC